TCTTCATATATTAACAATTAGTTGACTACAAAAACACTGTGGTTAATGTGGATATGCACATCAATATACTAACATTAAAGATGACAAACACAGAATTCATGCTCTTTTCAGAACTAGATTTGTCTTATATGGTGTAAAGAAAAAATTATGCGTTTCTGCAAGCCATCTAGGAGTCTTTAGTGAAATCATAGATAACTATTTTAATAAAAACTTAATAAATAATCAGTTTATGTAGATATTAGAACTTGTATATATCAATTTTATGCAGAATGATTATTGATACAATACAAGTAGGTAAGTAATGACAATGGAAAAGATGTTCACTACAGAACTCAAACCTGAAACAATTTTATCCACTATAACTTTTATCTAAAAAGAATATGTTTAGATATATGTGTCTATTTGTTTGTAAAAGGCTGTAGGAAAAGATAGTTTGTCTTTATTTAGAAAAATATGGATGTTTTGCTCGTTAATTTCCCTGTTGGAAAAGTGTGGATTGACCATTCTGGTGCCCGATCCACTTTCAGTCATCCCTCAGTGTACACTGGTTATTGCCTGGCAACCCTTATAAAAAGGTTCTGGCTATGCCTCTGGGTCTTCGCCCATTTACCCATACATTGTGCTGTCATTTCACTGGTGGGACAGAGTGACACTGTGGGGAGGCCACCCAGCGTTATCAGCTTGTTTAGAAAGAGGCCTCCTAAGACGTCAGACCTAAAATAAACTTTGAACTTTGGCTTCTCTGGGACATATTTTTATTTTTTTCTTCTTATTTTGTGACCAGAGCAGGCTTCTTACATCACAGTGACTAATCTACTCTGGGACAAAAGGAGTTTGTTCATAGTTAACCTCAGTTATAGTGTAAACTCTGCTAGGCGTGGATGGAAAAATGTTGACACTAAAGGGTAAACCAGTGATGTCAAAACAGCCCCCATGTGAGATGACATGAATAAAATCAACTTGTTTTCTGTACGCATTCCCATCCTGCGTGGACAGAGTTAACATTTATTCCTTTAATACCTCTGTAGTGGCACCTAATAAGCCCAGATAAATCAACTACAGGCTTATTCACCCAGAATAGAGCCTTCAAAAACTTGTTTTTACTGTTATTGTGGCATAAATGTACATAAAACCATCATTTTTTTCTGAAAAGTGCCTTTAAAAACTAAATTAGGATGAAGTTCTTGTTGCAGGATGAGTGAGTGCATATATCCCTCTGGTTGAC